TCCTCCCCTCTTCCCTCTCCCACCCCTCCCCCTCCTCTTTTTTTCCCTCGACAACCCCTTTCTGCTTTTCCAACCTATGCTGCATATTATTTCCCGGGGAGCAGGTTCCTCCTTGCTGAGGCCGGCCCTCCGGTCCCGGCCGTCGTCTTGGCTGTCCAGCCGCCTCTCCCCCTTCGCATCTTTCTCCACGGCCTCCGGTGATGAAAAGGAGAACGAGCCCCCCCCCCAGCCGGTGGCGACGTTGAAGGAAGCCGCGGCGGCCGCCCTGCAGGCATCCATCGACAAGGGTCCGCCCTACGCCCCGGGCACATCGCCGGTTTTTCTGGCCGGGCGAAACACCAATGTCGACTGGTCCAAGGTGGACATGGCTTCACTGCCGGAGGACCGGCCCTTGACTTCCGTGTATGAAGTGGGCTCCGAGGCCCACATCCAGTTTGTCCATGAGCTGAAGGATGTGCTGTGGGACAAGCTGAACAAGATCGCCAGCGAGAAGAATGACGGCCAGCCGCCACCCATGACCATGGACCAGTGTCTGGAAAGGGACTACCGCCCGGGCCACACCACGTTGGACGATTTCCTTGTCGTGCCGCGCATCTTCCCCAGCCAGGCCGATCTCGAAGTCAACCCGGATGGCAGCCCGGACTACGGGCGCAAGCACCAACTGTCCAGCTTCCTGCCCTCGGAGCCGCAATACCACCATGTCCCCACCGACATTCCCTACTCCTACAGCGAGCTGGTCCAAATGGAGGAGGCCATGATCCGGGAGAATCCCTCCATCACGCTGGACCAGTTGGTTCAGCGGTTTTTCGAAATCTGCGACTACCCCAATCGCTTTGCCACGCTGGTGCGATCCATCCCCGGGCTGTCGCGCGAGCAGCTGGTCGAATTTTCGCGCGCCATGAGCCTGAAGGACTTCTTCCACCGCTACGATGAGAACAGCTTCGAGCAATGGCAGGCGGACTTCCCGCATTTGTTGCACACCATCCGCGGCTTGGGCGTTCCCCCGCGCGACGTTTTCGACTATCTGATGGAGAATACGGCCGATTGGCGGGAGGCCATCAAGGCCGAGCCGGTGACCGATCGGCGCAGCCCGGCCGAGCTTCTGCGATCGCATCAGTCCCAGCCGATGACGCTGGCCGATCAGGAGGCACACCGGCGCATCGCCGAGTTCCCGGCCAGTTTTGACGACGAGGAGAATTCGGTCCCCGAGCCGGAGGAGTTGCTCCGGCACGCGATGTTCTTTGCCAACATCTCGGTCGAACGCATGGAGACCATCCACCCGGACCGGGACTTTGACCCGGCCAGCTTGAAGACCTTGCAGGCCACGCCGCACGAGCCCCAGAATTTGCTGCCGCCGGGCACCGAGCCGCCACCACACCCATCCGAAGAGTGGCCGATTGATCGCATCGAGGCGATGGCCGCCATCCTGGAGGTCTCTCCCTTGCGTCCGGATGATGACAACCTCTCGGACGTGGATTTGTCCGACGACGAATCGGGCGACGAATTGCTGGACTCTATCGATGCGGCGTACCCCTCCGAGGCGGATCTGCCGGTGCCGCACTTTTCCATCCCGCCGGCCATTCAGTCGGACGTGTCGGCCTTCACCGTCCCCGGCCCGGACGAGGAGCAGCCCGACGAGGCCACGGCTCGGCGTGAGGCTGTTTGGCGAGCTCCCGCCACGCCGATCGAGGACATGGACTCGATCGGCGACTACCGGAGTTCCATGACCCACCCTGTGAACAAGATCAACTCGCTGGCGCGGCTGCCGCTGCTGCCGGAGGCCGAGTGGGCGGCCCCGGAGCCGAAGGACTTCCCGGCCCCGGCCCCGCGCCCGGTGGAAACGGATGAGGATCACTTCTCCTTCCACATGTCCACGGTGCAGGACCTGACCGATGACCCAATGCACGAGGTGGAGCCCGACTCGCCGAAAAGTCCCTTCCTTCGGGAGGTGACCTTCCGCCAGAAGCAGTATCATGAGAATGTCCTGGCGGTGGATGTCTTCCTGAATCTCTTCATGCTGACGGGGTTCTTCCAAACCCCGGCCCATGATGACACGGTGCGCGAGTATCCGGTTCCGGATCCCCCGGTGGATTTGTCCTACCGGTCGCGCTTCATGGCCGGGGTGGAGTCGATTGTCCGGCACAATGCCGGGCTGCCCCTGACGCCGGAGATTGTGCCGGATCCGGTGGAGCGCCTGCGCCAGCTGGAGGGCGCCCATCATCATGAGGACATCGATGACATCGGCTTGGCCGGGCATTCCGTGACCACTCCCATCATCAACACCGATCCGTTGGCCCTGCTCAAGGCCCAGCCGCCGGGTGCCGCTCAGGCGGCTGCCCTCCGTCGCGAGGCCCAGGAGGAGGCTCTTGGCCAGGTGCGCCTGCGTCTGCCCGAGTCCCGGCCCGGGTCCGAGATGGTGGGCGGCTTGACCTCGGAGGCGCCGGAGACCATGCGCGAGTCGCAGGCCCGTGCGCTGCCGGTGAATGCCGAGCTCCTGGCCAAGATCCGGGCCCGCATGCCGAAGGCCGTGGAAAAGGGCCGTACCCAGCTGCTGATCTACACCTGTGCGGCGGAGGTCCCCATCACCGACATTGTGGACTACATGATGCAGCCTTCCACCCATGCCAATGATAAGAAGGACCACCGCGAGTGTGGCCACCAGAATGTGCGGTTCATCTCGCCGGAGGCCTACACATCCGGCTTGGTCATTGCCCGATGTGAGTCCTGCCGGAACTTGCACCTGGTGGCCGACAACCTGGGCTGGTTCAGTGATCAGCACGGGCCGGACTCCACTGCCGGGCCGGCCAAGCCCAAGCGCCTGGAGGAGATGCTCTCGGCCACTGGGCAGACGGTGCTCCGCCGGATGGAGCTGGCGGCCGCCGGTTCGGATGAGATCCCCACCGAGCTGGCCGAGAATGCGGCCCTCTACTCGCAGCTGCAGTCCTACAAGATGAAGAATCTGGTGCACATTGACGACATGGATGAGTAGGTCCCCTCCGCCCCTCTGCCCCCCCCCCTCTTTGTCTTCTTTCCTGGCACTGTCCCTGCCCTGGTGGTATGGCGGTGCTGCGGTAGCCACGTTGTTGCGTGGCGGTCTGGGGCTTTTGCTGTTTCCATGCCGCTGCTGCGGCTCCCCGTGAGCTTTCCGATGTGTCCAGGTGTGCCGCGCCGCGAGCCGGGGCCGATATTAGCCCCTTGGCGTGTTTTTAGATTGTGTCATATCGCCCCACGGTGCCTGGCTGTGCTGGCCGCGGCGGCGGCATGCACTTGGCCATTTCGGGACTGCTCTACTTCTCTCTCTCCCCCTCGCCTTTCCTTCCTCCGTTTGCCCGCGGGCATGTGCCTCTGTGCATGTGTGTAGCCCCCTGCCCCTGTCCTCCTCCCCCCGCCGGGGTACCGCAGAAAGAGAAGGAGAAAGAGAGGCCGTATGTTTGTGTCCTCTCCCCTCTGCCCGGTTGGCAAAAATACATCTTTAATATTTCTTTTTCCATTAGACTTTCTCTCTCTCTCTCTCTCTCTCTTTTCCTCTCCCTTCCAGCAAGATCCGCGCGGCGAATGGCCGGTGAGACGGTCGTAGACCTGGTGCCCCTGGTCTCCCCGGCGATGCGCCACTGGCACAGGAGAAGACACAGCGCCCCCAGCTTGCAGCGGGCCCTCGACCCCTTATCCGTGCCCATGCCCACCCGGGGGAGGTAGCCGATCCCGAGAGCACAGCCTGCGGAGGGGGGTGGGGGGGTGGCTGTGCTTTTCCGTCAAAGGGACGCTCGGGCGGTCTGCGCGCCGGCTAAGACCCGGCGGTCGCAGAAGCGCCAGGTCAGCAGGAAGGGAAGATCGGACGCGCCACACGCCAGCCTTAGGACAGCGGCGGGCCACAGAGTGCTTCGCCCGGGTGTCGAAGACGGCCCCGGCGGGGCTCTGGCCAGGATGGAGCCGGTCTGGTAAAAGAGCGTGTGTGTGTGTGGGGGGGGGGAACATCAGATAGAGCACTGGAGGGGCCGGTGGGTGCGCGCTCCAGGCCCCCCCCCCCTTGGCCTGGGGGTGCGGGCGTGGGCCCGCGTGCGCATGGCCCGCGTCCGGGCGTGGAGGCCTCCGACGCAAATGTCGGTCTCCGGGAGAATAGGTCTGACCCTATCACTCGGAGGTGGGCGCGCGTGCAGGGGGAGTTGGCACCCGGGTGCATGAGTCCCGCTGTGTCAGGCTTGTCCAATATCTCGACTCCTTCCTGTTTCTCCATTTCTCTCCCTCTCTCTCCGTCTATCTCTGCATCTTATTCTCCTTCAGTGGCACCCTGCCCTGCGGGCGGCGCAACTGCAGGCTGCCCGTCCGAAGAGCGGCGAGGCCGCTTGCCCATGGTCTTGCCCGCCCCCCTCCGAGCGCCCCTCGCCGGGCTCGGTCCCCCGCCGGACCGGGGCACGGGCCCCGCGGTCGCGTCTCCCCGACTCGCCACAGGGAGGGTGGGAATACCGGGTGCCGGCGCTGGCAGGGTTGTACCCACCGTGGTCTAGGGTTTTCGTGGACCCGCGCTCCGCGCTCATTTTCTCTATCGATTTTTGCCAACCTCCGTCGCGCGCCCGATTGGTAGGTTCAACCCCGTCTTCGGGCGCACGCGGCCCGTGCGGGCCGGGTGTGCGTGTCCTTTGTGTCTGTGTGTGTGTCTGTGTGCGCGCGCGCGTTCCCCCGGCCCCTCTTTCCTGCCGGGGCCGGTGTGGCCTGATTGGCCATTTGGCGATGCGTCAGCCGCCTGTCTCAATGAAAGCGTGCGTGCGCCTGTAGCGCGGAGCCGGCGCCACCGGGCCCCCGGCTCCCGCGCCGCCCTGAGAACGGCTTTCCACAGTTTTCCTCCGGGCAGGCGCGCTGGCTCGACTGATTTCCCGTCACGCGTGGCCCGGGGCCCCCCCCCCCTCCTGGTGCGCATGAGCGCGGGCGTGCTCATACCCGCCACTGGTGGGGGCCCAAGCCCCCCTCCCCCCCCGGGGGGCCAGCACTCGTGTGGCCGGCGGGCGGCGGCCACACTTGCCCTGTGGCCCGGGGCCCACCGAGGGGGGCTGCTCGCGGGAGGGGGTAGGGGGGCTACGGGGGCCGCATCCGACACTCAGACCCATTGGTTGGAATCCCACACGAGCCCGGTCGGCCCGCACACATGGCTACAGACACACACACACACACACACACACGCACACGCCCCCTCCCTTTGGCAGGGCGTTATTGTTGGGCTCGTAGCCGGGGGCTCTCGGTGGGCGGCGCACCTCTGGAGGCCCCACAGTGCCGGGATCTCCCTCTAGGTCACCGCTCGTGTGTCGCCGCTGTGTGGCGGGGCCTGGGGCTGGTTCGCCCTTGGCGCGCTGGCCGGCCCATGGTTATTCCGGCCGATGCTGGTGCCTCGGGGCGCACGCGCTCCCGCGCGCCCCGTCTTCCGGTTTCTACATGGCGCCCGAGGTGGGTCGCCTGGAGCGCGAGCGCACCGTTGAGAGATACATGCCAGCGCCCCGGCCCACATTCGCACACATACACACACACACACACATGCGTGTCCATGCGCCCATGCGCCCATGTGCAGACAGGGGCCCGCCCCTGGATGCACTGGCGCGCGCGCGCGCGAGCCCCCCGACCAAGACGCGGCCTTGTCGCTGATTTTCCTGCCCAACCGCCCCCCAATCGGGGGGAGCCTGCGCGCACGCGTGCCCCCTACCCAGGTCTCAGCCTGCCGCGAATCCCAGACACACATCCGGCCCGGGGTGCCGACGCCAAATATCGCCACGAACTGACGCATGTGTGCCGGACAAGGGCCCCTCGGCCCCACTCGCAGCAGTCCGCGCCGGCGCGCGTCCAATGTCCAGGGTGCGGGAAAGCACCCCCCGATGGCGAGAAAGCACGCCAGCAGCCGTGGGCCTCAGGCTGATGCCAACAAAGCCCGAGGTCGAGGCAGAGAAGGAGAGAGAGAGAGAGAGAGAGAGAGAGCGAGCCCGGGACTAATCATGACACAGGGATACTTTTTGTTTCCCTGCCGCACTTGCAGTGCCTCCCGAGCCCGCACATCCACCTCCCCCTGACTCCTCCTCCTCCTCCTCCCCTTCCCCCTCCTCACCAAATCCCACCCTTCACCCTGCTCTTCTCTACCCGGTTCCCTGCCTCCCCACCCTCCCGCCACTCCTCCCGCTGTCGCGTCCGATTTTCCCGCTGCCGCGCTTTGGCGTCACCTCCCCGCCTCTCCCCCATACACCGGTTCTCCCCCCGGGATTTGGGCCTCCCTCCTCGGTTTGGCCCTCCTCCACTTCATCTGGCGTTCCCAACACCGCGCCCTCGTTTGCCCTGCCCCCCTCTCTCTCCTTCTCCGGGGCTTTTCCTTTTCCTGTGCGCGCGCGCGCGACCGGCAAGATCTTCGCCGGCCCGCTGCTTCGCCCGGCCCTCCCCGCGCTCCGGCCACTATTGTACGCCCTCCTTCCCGGCCCTTGCTTCCCGCCCCCTGTCGCGTCGACACGCACACGCCCAAGGGCTTCCTGCTCGCCAACACACGCGCACGCACACGCGCATGCGCACGCACACAGACACACACACACACACACACGCACACGCACACCACACTCACATGTTTGACTCGCCTGCACCTGCAGAATCTGCCGCATATAGCGGTCCCCCGCCTCTTCCCTGATGGCACCCTCCCAGGCTTCCAGTCGTCGGACCAGGGGCCGACGGTCAGCCTCTAGCACCTACAGCTCCTTTAGCCACGCTCCCTCGGCCGCCTCGTCCCACGCCGGCGGAAGCGGTTCTTCTTCGCACAATGGTGCGCCTCCCCCCTCCCCGGCCCTCTGCCTGCCTTGCCTCTTTGTCCTGGTCCTTTGTCTGTCTGTTTCTGTCTCTCTCTCTCCGCGGGATGTTCACTTTTCTCACCCTCCCCCCCTCCCTCCCTCCTCCCCCAGCTGCATCACACTCCTCGGAACGCTCACCGCGGGAAACCCGCGAGTTGGCGGCCGCGCGGAAACCCCTCGCCCAGGCCCGTGTCGTTCAGGCGCACTTGGTCTATGTGGCCGGGCTCCCAAGTCGGCTGTATCGGCCACCCGCCTCCTCGGCATCACACTCTCCCACCCTCTCGGCCCATGGGTCCCCCTCTCCGAGCTCCATCGTTGGAGGTGCCTCGTCGAGCAGCAGCGCGCCCGGTGCTGCTGCCTCGGCCACGGCCGCGGCCGCCGCTGCCAGCCATGCAGCCGCCGACAACTCGCCCCGTGGTGATCCGGTCACCGGGGACGAATTTATCGCCCTCCTCCGGAGTCCCTCCTTCCTGGGTCGCTACGGCAAGGTCACCAAGCTTCTGTTGAGCGCTCGGCCATCCAGTGGCGGCGGTGTCGGCGCCGGCAGCAGCACCGGCGGTTCGGCCGCCGGGGCCTACAACAACACCGAGGAGCGCGTGGCAGCGCATGTCACCTATTCGGATGCGCGCGCCGCGCGGCGCTGCATCGCCGCCCTCGACGGCGTGGCCATCGATGGCTGTGTGGTCCGGTTCGTGTTTCGTTGCGGGTCTTCTTCTGTGGCCCTCCCCTCCCCCTTGGCATTCTTTTTTTTTTGTCTGCCCACTCCTTCCCCCCGCTCACACACATGCCCTCCTGTGCACGCACACAACCCCATACACAAACACACACACACACACACACACACAGTGCCTCCCTCGGCACGACCAAGTTCTGTCACCAGTTCCTGCGTGGGCTTCTGTGCCAGAATTCCGAATGCCTCTACCTTCATGAGGAGCCCTCCCAATCGAAGACCCCGCTGGCCTCCATCGCGGCGGCCAACTCCTCCTCCACCACAACCATCGAGTGGGCCCCAGGGCTGGTGGTCATGGGTGATGATCTGGCTGCGTGCGTTCCGCCCTCCCCGCCCCTGGTCTTTTTCCCCCCTCTCCTCCTCCCCCTCCTCCTCCCCAACGCCCGGGCGACTGTACTGACCTGTGTTTGCCGATGGCCGGTAGCCGGGGCGAGCTTGCCTTTGGACCGCCGACCCACACGCGTGTCCGAGTTTCCTCCTGGTGCGTTCGCCTCTCCCCCTGGCTCGGGGCCACACCCATTTCGCGTCCGCCACTCTGGTCCTTCCTCTGGCACCACGCTGACTCAGGCCCCCTGCCCTCCCCCCCCCCCCCTCCCCGGCCCAAAGGCGCCCCGACTCCAAAGGACGCGTTTTGCCGGCTCCGCCGCCAGACGCCCCGGCCAATGCCTCCCTCGGGGCCAACGCTTCAGTATCCCTGTCGATTAATGCGGCCGCCTCCCTGCCGACCCTTTCGGCGGCGGCCACCGCTTCGGCCACTCTCACAGGTGGTGCGACCAGCGCCGGTTCCGGTTCGTCCGCCCGCCGCCCCCTTCCTGCAATTCATTAGGACCCCCCCCTCACTTACCCCCTCCCTCTTGCGGCTCCCTTCCCCGTACACACACACACACACAATTTCGCACGCGCACGCCTCAGACACCTCTCCCCAGAAGTTGAGTTGCGACGCGTCGGCCCTCCAGCATCTGTCCCCCTCGCCGTGTTCCTCTTCGACCTGCTCGTCCCCCAACAAGGATATGGACTCGTGCTCGGACGAGTACGACTGTGATTTGGACTCCTCCTTCTCGCATCACTCGGCCAGCGAGGACCACGAGGATGAGGAAGATCACACCGAGGACCAGGACGCCGAGCATGGCACCCCGAGCGCCGACGATGTCCATCCCTCCTCGGATGGGTCTCCCGGGCCAAGCGTCAGCCCCCTCGATCAGCGGCAGCCGGCCCCTCCCTTCCACCACCGGACCCCCTCGGCCGAGCACCCCGCGCCGCATCTCCCCTCGGCCGGGGGCTTTGCCCATGGGCCCATTGGCGGCGCCGATGACACCCATGCCGCCTCCGACAGTGATGCTGCCATGGGCTCCCGCATGCCCCCCGATGTGCGCCCTCCTCCCTTTTTTTTTGTCGCCCAGCCTCCAATGGCCTTCCTTGGCCTGTCCCTTTCTTTTCTTGCGCCCCATCGATGCTGACACCTCTGCCACGGTTTGCGCTTATGGCCATGCCACTCTCGGGCCATGACTCTCGCCTGCGTGCGTGCACACGCCTCCCCCCAGACCTTCGATCTCTTCAAGGGCAAGTCCTTCTTCTCCGGGGCGAATGTCTTTGCTGTGGCCCCACTGGCGGCTCCCCTGTCGGATCTCAGCGCCTCGACGGGTGGCGCTCGCGGGCTCGCCTCCGCTCCTGGCTCCACTGCGGGCCCGGTCACGCCAGGCGGCCCTCATCACCCGGGCGGCCGGAGCCCCTCGCCCATGGTGGCATCCTCGCCAGGTGCCGGGACCGCCAGGCCCGGGTCGGCTCCCGGATCGCGCGGTGCCACGCCTCCGGCTCCGGGTGCCGTGACGGCTGCCGCCTTGGCTGCTGGGCTTCCCCTGGCGGCTCCGGGCGCGGTCCGGCCCCGGCCCCGGCCTCGGCCTCCGGCGGCCCATCTACTGCAGCAGCAGCAGCAGCAAGCACTGCCGGGTGGGGGACATGTGGTCTCGAGTCCCGGCGCTTTGCGTCCTCCCCTGCCACCGGGCCCCGCCGCGTCGGTGGCTGTCCGGCCCGGGCCGCGGCCACCGCGGCCGCCGGTCGCCGGCCTCACCCCCGGCCTTCTGGCCGTCAACACCGGGGCCGTGTCCCAGCCCGCCCCGCAGTCGCAGGCGGTGGTGACTTCCTCACCGCAGCCACAGCCCCCTTCACAGCCAGCTGCCTCCCCCTGGGGCCATCACCACCAGCTTCAGCATCATCACCATCAGCAGCAGCAGCAGCAGCAACAGCAGCAGCAGCAGCAACAGCAGCCAGCGCCTCTGCCGCAGTTCCACGCGGCCCCTGGCTCGGGCAGGCCATCTCCGGCGCCCTCACCCGGGCCATCGCCATCGCCCTCGCCCTCGACCGCCTTCCCCGCGGTGGGCGCGGCGGCCACCGGTCCTCAGCATCGCCCAGCCGCCACGGCGCACTTCCTGCCCGCGAGCAGCATCACCGTGGCGGCGGCGGCGGCCGCGGCCGCGGCCGCCGATTCGGCTCTCGATCTCGCCGCCACTACTGCTCCGCAGGCGGCCCTTCACAGCAGCTCCGGCTTGACGCTGGCCGCACAGGCATTTGATTTCACACTCCCCAGCTCGGTGGCGGCCACTGTCGCCGGCGGCCAGCAGCCCGGAATCAAGCCCACTGCGGCCGGCTCTGTCGGGGACTTTTATCCCCCCCTTGGAGCGGGTGTCAGTCCCTCGCACCACGATCCGGTTGGCTTGGACTTTGCCCAGCCCCACACGCTCGGGCCGTCCTTCAACTTCCCGGCTAACAGTCTGATGGCCGCGGCGGCGGCCCCGACGCCCAGCAGTGCGCCCCCGTCGCCTCGCCGGCGCGCCGGGGCCCTGGCCCCGGGGCAATTCGGCGTCGGCTCGCGCGAGGCCACCACCGGTGCTGGCGGCCCGGCCCTGGTCGAGCCCTTCGCCCTGGCACACCTGCTGGAGGATGGCGACCTGTCACAGGTGGCGGCCGCGGCCACAACCACCCGGCCGGGGTCGACTCGCACCGGGAATGGCTCGGCCGAGGGCGCTGTCCCGGGAGTTCCGCTGTTTGGCGGCGGGCGCCTGCGGTCGTCCTCCTTCGGGTCCGGACCACTGGAAGCCGGATCCGGGTCTGCCTCCTCCTCGTCGGTGTCGGTGTCGGTGTCGGCGGCCTCATCGTTGACGCATCACCATTCGGGGACCCCCTCCCTGCACCACCATCCACACGGTGCCCCGGCCGGCGTGCACTCCTACTACCACCAGACGCACTTCCAGCAACTGTCGGGCCCAGGGACCGCCGGGTCGCACTTCCAGCAGCATCATGGACCCGCCGGCTCCGCGCCGCACTTCCAGCAGCTCCCGGCACATCAGCCGCCCGTCCACCATCCCCATCATCATCCTCATCATCATCCTCATCATCATCCTCATGCGCAGCATCACTCGCATGCTGGGCACTTCCATCAGCCAGTTGCACAAACGCATGGCCACCGGCTTCCGCCGACGTCCGGCGGCGAATCGCCCTTCCACCTGTCGACTGCCTTCGGGGCGCCGGCGCTCGGCTCGGCGGCCGAGGGTCCGGTGGCTGCCATGGTGTCTCTGTCGGCGCCGCCCTCCCCGGTGCCGGGGCTCCTCTCGAGCCCCGGGGGCCTGGGCCAATTCCTCATGGTTTCCTCCGCCGCAGCCGGCGGGCCTCGTAGCAATGGAGGGGCCACAGACCCGGCTCCCGGCATGGTGGATCTCCCCTTGCCGCCGCTGAGTTCCTCTGGCCCGGTGGCGGCGGCGGCGGCGGCGGCTGCGGCCGCCGCGGCGGTTGCCGCAGCCGCAACCACCAATGGTGGTGCCGGCAGCGGGGTCGGCGTCGTCGCCACCGCTTCCGGTGCTGCGGCCACGTCTCCCCATGATCCTCCCCAATGGAAGCGTGCCCCCTCGCCCCGGCAGCCGGCGGCCACCAGCCCGAGCACCCTGTCCATCGCGTCCGGCAGCACGGCCCGTGCTTCATGGCAGGCGGCCCCGTCGGATGGCGAGCTGGAGCCCCTGCCACCAGGCTTCCTGGCCGCCTTGGCGGGTGACAGCTCGCCTCTTCCCGCCAACACCGAAGTCGACTCGGCCCCTGTCGCTGCCTCTGCGGGTTCCCCCTCGTCGCTGGCGGCCAGCCGCAGTGCGCCCTCTTCGGCGGCCAGTGCACTTCCCCCCCGGCCGGTCTCCTCCTCCCCGGCCGAGGAGCCCTCTTCAGACTACCTGCCAAGTGGCGCGTCGCCCGTCGGCCTGGCAGCCACCACCAGCCCGGCGCGTGATGAGCTTGGCCCCGGGCTCCAGCCCCTTCAGACGAGCATCTTGAATGCCCCCCTTTCAGACCTGTCGCCGTCGCTCCTCCCTTCGGCGCTCCTCTTCAACTCAACCCCTTCACACTCGCTGCCGGCCGGTGCCGTCGGCGGGGTTCCCTTCTCCCTGCTGGGCGTCGGCCGCCTGGGCAGCGAGGCCGAGCCCGGTGCCGCCGGCGATGCCAGCCCCGGTGGGACTTCCTTCGCGGGCGTGGTGGGCACGCCGGTGGCCATGGGGGGCGGCCGCGCCGGGTCGCCGCTGGCCGCCATGTCAGCCTCGGCCGAGCTTGGCTCCTCATCGGAGAACTTCGCCCCCGGGGCGTCCCTGCTGGCCGCGGCTGCCTTTTCCTCGGGCCTGGCCCCCGGCGGCGGCGGTCCTGCTGGCAACAGCAAGGCCGGCTTCTCGCTGGCAGCCTCGGCCAGCATGGCCGCGGGGCATCCATACTTCGCGACAGGCCCCGGCTCGGTGGCCTCGCTCCAGTCCATGAGCCACCTGGTCATGTCGGCCCCGACGCTTCCCGGTGCCCTGTCCGGCTTCACCAGCCCTTCGAGCGGCCTGGCCTTCGCGGCTGGTGGCCCGGCGCCCGGTGGCGGCGGCGGCGGCCCAGGCGCCGCTTCTCCGCACATGCGCCCTGGCGCTGGCGGCTCAACCACCACCTCGCCGACGGTGTCTTGATCTCCCAGC